GGTTTATTTGGGTCTGACTTAAGTTCAGGATGATTCACAAGGCCACATTCCTGGGAGAGACCTTTTACCGCTTTTCTCAGAGCAACTTCCTGAGATTGATTTCCCAGGTGCAGAAGTGAATGAGGGAGATAATGAAGGAGAGGATAGTGAAACCTTGGAGAATGTTTCAGGGTCAAGCGGTGATAGCTCTCCAGAGAAGCTAACACCTGGGATCCTTAATGAGGATAGAAGAGGACAGATTTGGGAAAGCAGGAGTGAATCACAGAGTCTGTGAAGGTCAAGCAGATTAAAAGAAAAAGAAACAAGGGCTTCAAAGCCTGGAGGCATGTCACGAAACAGTTTCCTCGGCTTTAAGTGCCTCTCGCTGGGTTGACTCTTTAGATCAGGCATCGTTTTAGACTGAGGCATTACCTTGGCAGATCTCCCGTTTCCCGTGGCCTTCATTCCAAGAGGCTTCTAGTGCTCCAAGTACGGTTAGTGGATTGCTAACAGGTTCCAGGATTTTACAGTGTTGCTTTTGGTTTTTGATCCAGTACATGGACATTTCTGATTGCTGAATTTTACTGTGGCTTTTTGACTGCATTTTCCTCTATTTTGTAACCATTTTTCATCAATAAAAAGGGATTGTTTTTCCTACAATCAAGTGTGGTAGATGGTTATCTTAGGGTCTCGTTTCCTGCTCTGGGTTGCAACAAGGTCCTGAGATGCAGGCGAAACATCAGGAGAAAATGCTGCTACAACACTTTGGCTGTATAGACCGGAAACCAGTCAACACTCCAGTGATTCCAACCACAGCACACATCCAATGTTTCCTGTCCTCCTCCTCCTTGTCTCTTGCAGGGGCCCCGCGAGGCGTGGAGTTCCAGGCGGTGAAGGAGCTGCTGCTCTCGGTCAAAGGAGTGAAGGCCACTCATGACCTGCACCTCTGGGCCCTGACCCTCAGCCACCACATGGTGGCCGTCCACCTGGCCATTGGTGAGCAGAGAAAGAGTGGGGACGGGGTGGGCTTTGGCCCCAAGGGACGCTGACCCTTGCCCACCTTCCGCACCTCAACCGCTGACCCTTCTTGCCCTCAGAGCCCGGTGCGGACACGGAGGCCGTGCTGCAGGAGGCCACCGCCCTTCTCCAGAGCAGGTTTGGCTTCTTCTCCTGCACCATCCAGGTGGAGCGCTACCAGGAAGACATGGCCGCCTGCCGCCAGTGCCAGGACCCTCGGGACTGAGGCCGGGACCACCCACTCACCCACCCTCGGCGCCTGCACTGCCAGCCTCCTGCTGCCCAAGGGGGGGGGTCCACCCGTGTTCGGCCAGAGCGTGCGGAGGAGCCCCCCACTGAAGAGAGGGGCGGACCGGCCCCCTCCCATCTTCGTGCCACATTCCAGCCAGACGGAGGGAGGCCGCCGACGCTTCCCTTGCCCATCTCTGCCTCAGTGTCTTTAATGTGCCTGCTGAGGGATCCGGGCCTCCAGCGGTCAAGGAGAGGCCGCCCTGACCCTCGGCCAGGCCGCCTCCTCCTCTTGTATCTGTCTCTGCATGTGTGTGTGCGTGTGTGTGTCATGCTAGCAGCAAACACTTGCACTATGGATGTCTTTTTTTGGTCCAGGAAGGGAGGTTGGAAGGAAGACCCTCCCAAAAGGGTGACCCGAGCGACCCTCTGCCCGGTCTCCAGGCACTGTCCACTCTTTCCTCTTCCCAGCCAGGAGCCCAAGCTGCCTTTTGTGTGTCACGCTAAGTAACAGCAAACACTTGCACCATGGATGTCTATTTTGGAGAGGGGTCCAGGAAGGGGGATGGAAGGAAGACCCTCCCCAAAAGGGTAGCCCGAGCGACCCTCTGCCCGGTCTCCAGGCCACTGTCCACTCTTTCCTCTTCCCAAGCTGCCCTTTGGTGTGTCATGCCAACCAACAGCAAACACTTGCACCATGGATGTCTTTTCTGGAGAGGGGTCCAGGAAGGGGTCTGGAAGGAAGACCCTCCCAAAAGGGTGGCCCAAGGGACCCAGGTCTCCAGGCCACTGTCCACTCTTTCCTCTTCCCAGCCCTTTCCCTGTCTGTCTCTGCAGCATACCCCAATCCGATCTAAGGGGGACCCCCAGGAAAAGGCCCCTCAACAGACTGTCCTCTCTGGCATGAAAATGCCTAGTGGTGTCCCCTGCCCTGCAGAGGGTTGCTGGGCCCCTTTGACCCCCTCTGGGGGATGGCAGTGGGTGGGGAGGGGTGGCCAAGCCCACCTTCTGGTAACCAAGCCCAAGACCAAGCCAGCCTGCAGAGGAATGCTCTTGGCATGGAAGGAGGAGGCCCCAGAAGTGTAGCAGCAAGCCCAGGTGTGCATCATGGGGGTGCCGGCCAGCGGCAGGTGGTCCCCTGTGAGGTGTGGTGCTCCTGGGCCCCCGACCCAGCCTCCCACCAACAGTGGCGGGGAAGGCCGCTGCAACGCTCTGCACCAGGGAGGAGCGCGCATGCCACGCCTTGTGTCCGTGACCTTGTGGAGTACATGTGTGTCTCTGTCTCGTCTCTCTCTCTCTCGTGTGCCATGTGTACCAGTGAACCCAATAAAGCAATGTGCCTCAAACCAAACAGCAGACTCTTGGCAGAAGTGTGTGGGAGGGGGGACACATGCTGAAGCCATATTGTGGGTGGGTGGGTGGGTGGTGGAAGCTCCAGTGGGTGCTTCTTTGTCTCATGTGCAGGATCCAGAGGGAACCTCTTGGGCCCCAAAAGCTTCAAGAGAACCCAGGGCAGGCTGCTGGGGGGCCGTGAGGCAGGGGCTCCCTGAGTGGGGGCTGCAAGGAGAGAACCCACCTTCCTGGTTCATATGATGATGATGATGATGATGATTATATCTCAATTTTTATATTTATATTATTATTATCATATCCCAGTGTTTATATTATATTTATATCCATTGCGACTAGGACGCAATGGAGCCAAGGCTTCAAACTACAAGAAAAGAGATTCCACCTGAACAGGAGGAAGAACTTCCTGACTGTGAGAGCTGTTCAGCAGTGGAACTCTCTGCCCTGGAGTGCGGTGGAGGCTCCTTCTTTGGAGGTTTTGAAACAGAGGCTGGATGGCCATCTGTCGGGGGTGCTTTGAATGCAATATTCCTGCTTCTTGGCAGAATGGGGTTGGTCCAGATGGCTCACTAGGTCTCTTCCAACTCTAGGACTCTATGATTCTGTGATCAGGATTTGTGCCTGTGGGGGCCCACTGGCCAATCCTCCTGCTCCCCCCCCCCAATTGGATCCCTTTTGGCCCTGTACTTAGTCCTCCTTTCTCCACAAAATCTCCACAGCTTTGATGTGGACCATACCTTGCATGAGCTCCTGGCAAATGGGCCGGATCCCTCACATCCCCTTCTCCTCCCTGCTTCTTTTTTGGACCCATTTTGCCATAATTCTTGTTGCTCCTGGAAGGGATAGATCAGTGAGGATGAGCTTCAGACTGCAGAGGAGGGCAGGGTCCGGCTGTAGGACGCAGGGCCTTTGGCCAACCTGACCTCCCCCACAGGATTCTTGGGAGGCTTAATTCCGGAGGGCCAGGGCCAGGCAGCTGGGACTCACTTTAAGAAGTCAATCCCAAACCCATAGGGTCACTATCATTAGGCACGATGAGTAAGGAGACCCAGTTCAATGGGTTTAATTGAACAAGTCATCCTGCTGGGTGGAACAACTAAGAAACGTGCCACACCCACATGAGGCTCAGTTTAGCTTTGAAGTCCAAGATTCAAATTTCCTGCTTCTTGGCAGAAGAGGGTTGGACTGGATGGCCCAGGAGGTCTCTTCCAACTCTAGGAATCTAGGATTCTAAGATCCAGAGGGAACCTCTTGGGCCACCCCAAAAGCTGCAAGGCAACCCAGGGCAGGCTGCTGGGGGTCCATGAGGCAGGGGCTCCTTGAGTGGGGGCTGCAAGGAGAGAGCCCCCCTGCCCATTCACGGGAAGGAGGAGAAGGAGACCGTCTACAAAACACATTCACTTTAATAACAACAGTTAAGCGAAGAAAGGCGCTCAATGTGAGCAAAGCTGTGCCCCCGAGAGAGGGCCGGGCCCGGGCTCTGTTCCCTGGTGCCTTCCTCTTCCTCTTCCTCCTCTGCTGGTCCAGCCAAAGGGAGGCTGAAGTGCCAGGGCTTCCTTCCCGTGGATAGGAAGGGAGGCCCAGAGCCAGAGGCGCAGGCCAGTCTGTGGCCGGACTCCAGGCCGAGCCTCTTCTGGCGGTGCCTCTGGTCCCTCGGCCCTTCACTCCCGCCACTTGCAGCCCAGCTGCTGGCTTCCACACGACTCTCTCTGCTCCGTGGAGCCCTGAGGGTCCTCTGCTGAGTCTTCAGCTGACAGCCGCGAGGGGCACCGTCGCTGTCGCCGCCGCCGAAGGACTGCCCCCGTCGGCCTGGGCCATGGCACCCACGTGGGCCTGGCACTCCCTCTGCAGCTTGTGGCTGAGCGGGGAGACCAGGGCGCGGAGGCAGTGCAGGCGCACCAGGCCCGAGTGGCCGCCCGAGGCCAGCCAGCTGTGGCAGGACAGGTTGGGGCTGAAGCACACCTGGAGCAGGAGAACAACGGGAGGGAGGTGTTGCGTCTCAGAATAAGATTCACCTTGCTCTCCACCACAAACCAGCCACAGTGGTGAGGTATATAGTTTATTGTGAGATTTCTAAAACAAAATGCAGTTCATAAGCAGTGAAAAGACCAATAGTACAGGTTATAATCCAATATAATCCTTATTGCCCATAGCAAGAGACTTAAAGCACAGGTTCAGTATAAAGTCCATGAAATCGCATGGAGCAATCCTTCCCAAGAACAGGAGCCGGAGCTAGCCATAAGCAAACGTTGGAACTAACAGCGAGAGCCCCCAAGCAAAGCATTTATTCACTAAACATCAAAACAGACAGCTTTCCCACCAAACAGATGATCTCAACACTTGGCCGCAATCCGCGGGCTCCATCTCAACACTCTCAACACCTGGGCACCTTGACCCTGATTCCCAGCGCCTGTCTTATCATTTGCATTCCTTTCCTGTGAGAACTGAGAGAGCTGCGGCCTCTCAGCAGACACAGACTGAAAGCCAACTTCATCATCAACTGTACTCTCAGACTCATCCCCATTCCCATCATTCCCATCATGCTGTTGTTGAACCACAACAGGAGGGAGGGGCGTCTCTGAATGGAGATTGGGGGACTGCCCCACCCCCCATATCCCCCTCCACGCCCCCCTCGATACTCACCTTGTGGACGGCCTCCAGCTGCGGCCCCCCCAGGCTGACCCCCTCCTTGGCTTCGGGGAAGCCGCGATGCTCCTGCTTGTGGGCCTTTCGGCGGAAGCTCTTGAAGCTCCTCTGGGAAGGATGGAGAGAAGGAAGGAGGGAAGCGAGGAAGGTTCAGTGCCAGAAAGAGCAGGCAAAGGGGCGGCCTGGGCGTTCATCACGCCAACAGCCCATGATGGATGTGCCTGGGACAAAAGGCCTTATCAACATCCAGCACCTGGCACAGAGGAATGGAGGGAGCCGGCGAAAAGTGGGGAAGGGGCTGAGAGGAACCCCACTCTCTCTCTCTCAGGCTGCAGGAAAGCCTCTTCACTTGGGGTGGGGGGTCTCTCCACTTGGGGTGGGGGGCCCAGAAACACATATCCCTCCCCGCGTTCCATCCTGGGCCACACTCACCAGATCCGTGTCCTGGAAGAGGAGGTAACTCTGGGCCGTTGCCTGGCCGTAGCTCTTGCCCTCCGCTGCCCGGGGCCTCTCTCCCGGCCCCACAGGCCCCGATCCAGGGCCCTCTTTGCTGAGGAGGAGGCAGCTGCGGGGCAAGAGGTCCCCCCTGTAGATGGGCTGCAAGGGGGGCAAAGGGAGGAGCCAGTTAGGGATTCCTCGTCT